TCCTACTGTACTTTCCTGCTAAGTTCTTAAGCTTCCTTACTTTCCTTCTACTAAGCCCTGTTTAAGTTTCTTCTCAAAAACTTCTTAAGCATGTTCACTGTTCCTATCAGTGTTTCTCCTCTATTTTTTCTTTGAGTGTTTCTACTGTGTTCTGCCTGTTACCTTGATATCATGATTTCTCATGAGTTTTGTTGTTGATAGAAGCATGCAAGAGGCTTCAGTTCTTCTCCGAAACCTCTGAGCCTGCTTCGACTACTTGTCTTCTCATCTCTGTACTTGATTCAAGGTGGAAACCCTAGAATTTAGGGGTTCTGCCGAGGTTTGATTGAACTGGGGTTTGATTTTAGAACCCTTAACTCTTTCAGACTAACTTTGAGTCTCTGAACTGAGTTTGGACATCTTTGTTTTCATACAATACTGAAATTTTTGCTAAACTCTTCCACACCAGATTTTTTCTACAGATTTACACGACAGTCTTCTTTCATGCTCACATGCTCCTTATATATGATGAATTTTCCTCTAAATGGTTTTCAAATTTGCAATTAGTGCAAACTTCTTTCTGAATATGGCTTAATTGATTTCTTTCCATTGTTTGCTAATTCTCCATGTTACTCGGCTTAAGTAAAACCCCTCTTCATCTTTTCTGACTCGGTTCATTCATACCAAATCTCAGACCTTGTGATTTACTAGCTATTAATTGACTCTCTTACCTTATTTGCACAAATCGTGTACTGTCATAACCCTGTCCTTCAATAACCTTTATGTATTTGCCCTCAATTGCATGTTTTACACAAAGTGTTTAATCAATTTCTTTCCTTAATTGGTTTATACATGTTTCAAACTATTTTTTTACCTTATTTCTGCCTGCTTTCTAAACTATAAAAGGCACGACACTTCGCACTTCACAATCTCTTTTGAACTCTTACTCACATAATAGAACTCTCTCTTCTTGTCTACACTGAGGTTTTTACCAGACTACTACATTTTTCTCTACTTGTTTCTTTGAAACTAGTATGTCCTAATTTCAAATTTCAGCATCCCCACAATGTGTTTACTTACAGCTTTCTGCATATATGTCTACTTTACTACTTCTGCAAAGCTAAATACTTAAAGTAGCATGTTGATTCCCTTTTGCTTGTTTCCGCTATGAATCCCTATTCCTTATTTCCCTTTATGTGCTTTGAGTTACAGTTTAAAACATGGCAATATACAAGTTATTGTCTAGGGATTGAACTTGATCCCTTAGGGGATCCTAACCTCTAAACAATGTGTTCCAGTAGGCTTATGGGTGTGCCAGCATCTCCCATTGTTGGGTTATGCCCACTAGCCTGCTTTTTACCTCTTGCAACTCCCCATTCCCTATATCCCTATGTGTGATGTTTCCCTTTCCTTTTCTCCCTTTCAGAATTCTGCACTTACACTCTCTCTTATTTCCTAAGTTCTACCCCCTCTTGTAAGCCTTGCCTTGGGACCTTGAGTTCCCTCTGAACTTGGACACCTGAGGGTTGGCCCTTCCACACTGCACTTTGGCTTAATATGGTGATACATTTGGGTGTAAGCACTGCCCGGAGTTCTTATGAAACTCTTAGGGAACTCTGACACACCCAAGTGGGATAAAGGCTTTGAAACATGATCTTTGGAGTTGGTTTACTTCATACTTCAGACAGGAAGTCTGAATCAGGCTCTCCTTGGTTATACTTTTTAATTTTTGATGTGTTTTTCCTTTACTTTACTTTTTCTGGGTTGTAATAACTTTTGGGGATGGTTAGTGAAAAGGGAAGGGTAACCATGCATGTAAAAAAGGGTAGATAACTTGCCTATAAGATTCCTGCATTTTTCATATAGCTACCATGCCTATAAGATTTTTGCATTTTTCATATAGCTACCATGCCTATAAGATTTCTGCATTCTCATTTAGTTACCACGTCTATAGGAACTTCAGCATTCTCATTTAGATACCATGACTATAGGGACCCTGAACTTTCATGTAGATATCGTGACTTCTGCATATGCATGTAAAGAATATGTCTATAGGTTCTGAAAATCAACTACAATTAGATGTCATGCCTATAGGGTTTCTATATTCTTATTATGTCCAAAAGGTTGTTTTTTTTAAATCAGCAACGCATAGAAAGCATGCCTATAGGAACTATCAACCAAGTCTGAACGTTCCACTCGCTTATAAGTCTAAAATCGGTAACAACAATGTCTAATGTCTGCAGAATTTATGATCTTTTGTCAAAACTCATCTTTCCTGAATAACTGACAACCTTTTCTAAAATCAGTATACTTCATCTTTTCTGAAATCAGTAGATATCATGCCTATAGGTTTTTGTCTAACACTTAGGCAAGCCATAGGGTGAAAGTTTATAAACTGAATCAGACTTTTTATCAGCTACAACCAGCAGGCAGGCCTGATTCGGGTTTCTTATCTGAACTATGTAATAAATCAATCTGCCTCCACCGTTTAATTTTAATCAGACCCTAAATAGTACATGCAAGTCATACTACATTATGTGCTTTCTTTGGTTTAAAGGAGGTCTGTTTGAGCCCTTGTATTTTTTTATATGCTTCCCCAAACTTGTTATATGTGTTTTGTTTGTCGCCTTAATATTTTACCTTTTGAAACCACAAATAATCCCAATACCTCCTCCCTCTAGGATTAGTAGTCCCAAGTGCCTCCGGGCCTGATAGGATTGGGGGCGGGTAATAGCATGCAATAAGTAAGCGAGACCATTCCGCGCTTTAATACCTCAACGGGGCGAGAAAGGGTAGATATGGATATGATAACCACGCGATAACATCACGTGTATCCCCTCACTGAGTAGTGATTACCGGATGTTATGTGGGGTGATTCATATTATTAATAAACCTAGGACCCCCCTTCCCTTTGTTTTCTTTGTTTTTTTAAATCTTTTAAACCATTTTTTTTAAAGAAAATCAGCTCTTTTTAGTTCCTTTTTCTTACTTTTGTTTATTTGTAACCATTACGTGAAAATCCTCTCTTATTTGAAGCCTTTATTTACCTATGTGTTATTTGCACTTAAGTCACAACAATAGTTTGGCCGGGAACCACACTAGTGGATTCTGAGGGGTGCCTAACACCTTCCCCTTGGGATAATTTCAAGCTCTTACTCAATCTCTGGTTACTCAAAACAAACCCCTCCTAGTGTCCTAATGCACTTTAATCATTAGGTGGCGACTCTTCAATTCAAAACCCAATTCCCGAACAGGAACGAGTTATCCTCCCAAATGTCACAACCCCGATTTTTGCGAGAAAAAGGGGGACACGACAGAGATAAGCTTAAGTGGCTATATTTGATATCTCTTGATCGAAAAGATTGCATAACTGATAAGGAGAAGGACTCCTTACACGAAGAGAATACTATCCAAGATAAGGAAGGAGTTAGAAGTTGAAGATAACTAGAACTCTTCCACCAATGAAGAGTATAGCATTGGGACTCTAGTTATTTCCTATTCTACTAACTCTATAAATTGCAGGATGTTCTCACTTTACAGGCATGCACAAAAGCTGAAGTTAAAAGTGAGTTGAGAGCAAAATAACAATGCATTTTCAAGCAATTCTCACTTTACAGGCATGCACAAAAGCTTAAGTTAAACATGAGTTGAGAGCAAAATAGCAACGCATTTTCAAACAATTCTTGTATGATTCAAGTGTGCGAACCTGAAGCTATATGAACCAAATATAAGAACTAGTTCCAAGTGTCTGTCTCTTATTCTAGTTTCATTGTAGTAGGTGGTTTTCAAATTGTACCTTTCAGCTTTATCTAGAAGCAATTGTATTAGGTACTTAGAGTATTCAAGTTAGAGTTAACTTGAAGTTGTCGCAATAGTTAGAGGCTGGTTGCCACAATGAGATTAGAGGTAATCCTTAGGTTTACAAAGAATTTTTGTAAATGTTGTTTTGGCTTAGTGATTTAATAAAGTGTTGGAAAAAATCCTACTGAGTAATAGGTCGTGATTTTTTCACCTTTTGAGCCGGGTATTTTCCACATAAAAAACTTGTGCTCTTTACTTTTCGCATTTATTATTTTCACAATAATCATTTAAGGAACACATAGAAGAACCATGTCCTTTTATAATTTGTGCACGCAAAAACTGGACACTACACAAATCACCCCTCCCCCTCTTGTGTGACATTGAAGTACAAAATACCAATTAATATCAGAGCGGGTTATCCTTAAAGAGACTTACACCTTAGGAGAAAATCAACATGAGTGCACCACCTGGAAACTAGGAAGGGCAATCCACTGCTGTGAGCACATGATTTTTGCCCTATATGAAATACTCCTATAAAATCAAAGAAAATAGATTTTTTCCGATTATTTGCCATTTTATATGATTTTATTAATTGCTTGCATTTTTGTGCACGTTTAACTTTTATTAAAATCATGAAAAATGTCAAAAATACCATGCATTGTATTTAGGTTTTGTTTTTACATTTTTAGGATTAATTAGTTAATTATTTATTTTATTAAAAAATAAAAATCACAAAAATGGCTCATTGTTACATTTTACCTCATAATTTTTAGATTAGTGATTTTTCTATTTTAATTTAGGATTAAGTAATTTTTATAATTATTGTAATTAGATAATTAGTTTAATTTTACAATTTAGACTAATTTAGGAATTTGATTTAGGTTTTTTCTTAAATAAAAAAATAATTGGAGAAAAGGAAATAAGAAAAAGAAATTGAAGGAAAGGTTTAATTGGATATTGGGCTAGTTCTTGTACCCAAATCAGGTCCAAATTTTCCTACCCAGCCCAAAAACCAAACTGACCCGTCTGCCCGACCCATTTTCCCCTCACACTAAATAAACCCTAGATCTAGATTTTAGACCTAAGGGATAGAGATAGACCCTACCCTCTCTGAACAAGAGAAACGGTGCCCCCTGAACTTCATTTTTTCTTCTTGGAGCACCCATTTATTCTTCATTAAAATTAAAACAACAGACCCCTCCCATAGAAACACCCCCCCCCCCCAAAAAAAAACCCCCCCCCCCCAAAAAAAAAATTTGAAGTCATGTATGGGTGCTGGTGGCTGTCAAATACCATTACCAAAAGGCTTGAAATATTTCAACATATCAACGCAAAGCTCGAAATTAAATCACACTGTTGCTTGGTCGTTTAACATATGTGGCTATGCATTTCTTGGTAAGGCAAGTAAATTAGAATTTAAGGGTTTGCCGGATCTTGGTGATCTTAATTTTGCAAATAAGATTATGGATAATGTTCCAATTGTGGTAGATTGGACCATCGGAAATCTTAGTTGTGTTGAAGCACAGAAACACCTCCTTCACTCTCATTATTAGAAACAAAATTATATTGAGATCAATTTCCTATATACACCAAAAGGGTCCGGAAATCTGAAGATTTTGGTAGCTTGTTATTTTTTTTTTGATTAAACAAAACTGGAAGGAATTGCCATCTAAGGAAATAGGTGCACAACATTGTGGATGTTCAACAATTTGCTTATCATTCATATGCGTTTCTGGATTTTCCTCACGAGTGTTTCAAGATAACTTCGTTGTTGTTGTTCCCTCCTTTACTGATTGAGCTACATCGCCCAATTCCAGATCTGGATTTGCTTTTGTTTAGCTGGTCGTCCCTGTAATTAGGTACGTAAACGCTCGCCTGAGATATTTCGCTGGTTATGAATGGAAATTCAAGTTGTTATCTTGCTAAGTTTCTGCCTAATTTCATGGGTCAAGGGTATTCGAATTACTTGCAGTTATTTTCATATTAAATTTGGATTCTGATTTTTTTAGGCTAAAAACTCTGCTGAAATTATGTGATTCACATTTAATTAGTTCTTAGGCAAATTAAGATTCAACCTCATCATGAGTTAGATCTGAGAAGTAAGAGATGAATGTTGAAAGATTGATTCGAATATTGGTTTATAATCACTAATAGCTTTTGTTTGTTTCTGGACGGATTCATTGGCTAAAAAATGTAAAGAAGAAGGAATTGTTTATTTGGTTCAAAGAAACATAATTTTCTATTGACTCATTCTGTAGAAATTAGCCAAACTCAATTTGACGTGTTAAATTCTTGGGCAGTATAAAATGACTAATCCTTTACTTCAATAATTCTTTTTTTCATAATTCATGGCATTGCAATAGGCCAAAGTAGTTTTAGGAAGAAACAATCCAATTGTGAACTCTCGTAGTATGCCTTAGACGCGATTAATAAAATTATCGTGGCCATGGGTATAGCTCATGTGGCATGGTCACGATAAATAAATCCCAATTCGGGTGTGCATTTCATGTAACTCGATCATAACAACTTCGAATTTTAATAAAAATAAAATATGCCGCGAATCGCGGGTGTATTTCATGTAGCGTGGTTTGCGGCGTGTCCCAAAACGGCAAGTGTACGACAATCGTCACTTGTTCAAGAAATAATTCCATAAATCCTAAAAGGTTTTTTTAAAAATAAATAAAAGTGGTTATAAAGTTAAAAATACACACTAGGTTTAAAACATGTAATAAATCAGATAATAGGTCAATTTTAATAGTTTAAGCGACCGTGTTTGAACCACGGAACCCGGAAATGCCTAACACCTTCTCTCGGGTTAACAGAATTTCTTACTTAGAATTTCTGATTTCGCAGACTTTTAAATAAAGTCGATTTTTCTCGATTTGGGATTTTAAAAATAAACCGGTGACTTGGGACACCATAAATTATTCCAAGTGGCGATTCTAAATTAAAAAAAAATAATCTCATTTCGAATAATGTCACTTAAAATGGAAAAACTTCTTTTCCCTTTTCGGGTAAAAAGGAGGTGTGACAGCTCTGGAGACTCTTCTGGGGATAAGAACCCAGAACCTCTGGTTCATGATTCAGAATTTGAGCTTAGAATAACTGTTATAGATGGCTTTTATTTATTATCTGATTTTTATGTGTTTGAGCCAAATGTGCTAAATGCCGCTTTTAACCACTTTGATATTGCTTGAACTGTATACAAATTGTTACGAAACTCTCTTCTCTCTGAGTCTTCTAAATCAAATGGGAAGTGTGCACTTCGTGTGACTTCTTTTTTGTTAGAGTCATATCCCAATTTTAGAACTAGGTTCGGATAAATTGCAAAGCCGGTGAACCTTCTGTATTCCTGGTACGCTGCACCCCCTCCCCCCCTGTTGTCCGCTCGGGTAAGCCAGGTCTAGAACAATACACCCAGATCTTAAACCTAGAATAACATAGCCTCATGTCGGATCCCTAGTAGGTACGTTTGTTTGCATCACGTGCATTTGACTTTGGGGACTCAAAACAGGGTTTGGGTCCATCTAGGACAGGTGTACCCAAATTAAAATGACCATCCTAATGCATCTTACATGCTACTTGCACATTTATTTGTTTCGGCTTGCATGTTGACCAGCTTCTAGAATAGGAAAAGAAAATCAAAAAAAAAGAAGAAAAAAAAAAGAAAATCAAAGGGAAAAAATCGAGAGTGAGAAGCAGGTATTTGAATTATCCTGAAATTCTGCTGAAATTTTGAAAAAAAGAGAAAAAATCATTTGAAAATAAGTCATGTTTCCTCTGTTCCGTCAAAACTGGACGAACTATGCAGGTCTGATTCTCACCGGATGTGAGATACGTAGGCAAACCTCATCGGTTCCGGCCGATAATTTTCAAAAAATCCAAAAAAAAAATTCTTTACTTCCTTCTATAGAAAGTCTTTCTTTTAAGACGCCAACTTTCAAAAATTCAAAAAAATAATCTTTTAATTTCTTCTTTAGAAAGTCCCAAATGATAAAAAAATTTAACCAAAAATATTTTTTTTTCATTTTAGAAGTCTTTCATTCGAAAAGGAAATCAAATCAAAATCCAAAAATTATTTTCTACGTTTTTTTACAAGTCTTTTTCCCCAAAAAATAAAAAAAATAAAAAATAAAATAAAAAATCCAAAAAATATATTTTCTTTCTTCTTTAGAAGGCTTTGTTTCAAAATTTTGAAAAACAAATAAAAAAATCCAAAAATATTTTCATTCTTCTTTCATTGAAAAGAAATTCAAGAAATAAAAAAATATTTTCTTTTTCTTTAGAAGTAGTTCTTTCATAAATTGAAAATAAAAGTCAAAAATCCAAAAATATTTCCTTTCTTCTTTAAAAGTTTTTCTTTCGAAATTTCAAAAAAAAAAAAGTGAAAATTCAAAATAAAAATATTTTCTTTCTTCTTTAGAAGTCTTTCTTTTCAAAAATTCTCAACAAAAACAAACAAACAAACAAATCGAAATCCAAAAATATTTTCTTTCTTTATAAATCTTTCTTCAGAAATTAAAAAAAATTAAAATTCAAAAAGAGAGTTAGTTTATTTCTTTTATTCCTAATCTTCCCGAACTACGCAAGATCTGATTCATGTTCCCACATGATACGTAGGCAACCCACATCAGGTTCGATCAACCATTAAAAAAATGAAAATAGAGTGATAATAATAAGGACCAACTGAGCCAATTCTAACATGTTTTTGTTTTGAATTGTGAAGAAAATTTGAGGTGGTCGGTTTGTGGTAAGCTGACAACACAAGATCCAAGGAAAAATGACAACTGACATCGAAGCTGTTACTAGTGCTCAAGAGACTCAAGGTCAGTGGGTTCAACAAGAGTCTACTGTGGTTGAGGAAAATAGAGTTCTGAAACAGAAAATGACTGAAATGTGTCAAGCATGGGCCAATGGCCAAGGACTGCCCTTTTCTTCTCATGGTTTCCCAGAGTTCACACCCATCTCGACTACTGCCATTCCGGTCTCATTGTCTGATCAATCCTATCTACCTGGGTTCAGTCATTATCCCAATTGTACAACTACAGCTGGAACTTCTGTTTCATTCTCTCAAAGTTTGTCATTGACAACCAATCAGACAACCACTACTTTTATGCCCGTCTTCACCATCCCACAACCGACGGTGGTGCAAATGAAAACTCATGAGTCACAATTTGCTACCCAGCTAGAACAGTCTCACTCTCCTGAGTACCACTCGTACCTATTTTATCTTCCTGCAAAGATTGAGAAACCTGCCCGAAAGATGGCACAAGAAGAAATGACCCAAAGAAATGAAGAATTGCTAATAGCTTATTTTGGGGAAAGCCTTACGGGAGCAGCCTCCAAATGGTTTATGGATCAAGATACCTCTCACTGGCATGGCTGGGATGACATGGCTCGGGCTTTGTCAAACATTTCCAATACAACATTGACATTGCCCAAACCGCAATTCCCTTTCAAACCTGAAGAAGAAACCAAGTGAAAGTTTCAGGGAATATGTCATTAAATGGAGAGAGCAAGCATCTAGAGTTAAGCCACCCATAGATGACCACGAGTTAATCACTGTCTTCCTTCAGGCTCAAGAGCCAGATTATTTTCAAAACATGATGTCCACAATGGGTAAATCCTTCTCGAAAGCAATCAAAATGGGGGAAATGGTTGAGAATGGTCTTAAGATAGGCAGAATTATAAGTCAAGCAGTTCTCAAAGTCGCGACTCAGGCTGTCCAGATTGAATCTGATAATTTTAGTGATACAAATGAGAAGGACGAAGAAATAATGATGACATCGGGGTCGAGAAGAGGTCCTAGGAGAGCATCTCAAAGGTATGACTAGCCTCGTCTATTTTCCGATAATGCTCCTGAGCACTACTATCCACCTCAGGACCCGCAACACTCTGTTGCTCCACCTCAGTATGTTGTCCAGCCACCAAAACACCTCAGAAGGCGAGCACGAGCATCACAAAATCTCTACCAGCCTCCACAAAATTTTCAAGTATCTTATAACCCATATCCAAGCTAGGGGTATAGATGGGGGCAAAGGTTGAAAGATAATTTTACACCAATAGGAGAGTCCTATGCAAGCTTGTTTGAGAAATTAAAGCATTATAACATGATTGCACCTATTCCTCCAAATCATGTAGACCCACGTGCAAGAAGCTTTGACCCTTCTAAAAGGTGTGAATACCATTCCAATGCTTAGGGGCACAATGTTGAAAGCTATCGGGATTTGAAAAGAGAAATAGAAAAGATGATCTAAGAAAACCTGATTGTGATCCAAGACAGTGACACCCAGAATATCGCGCAGAATTCTTTACCTGCACATGATGATGCACACTTTGTGGGGATGATTCATGGTGACAGGGAGTATGAGAATCATCTCGGGAACTTGCTAACTGAAGTTAATGATTTTGAAATTAGAGAAGGCTCTACTGATTCTGATGAGCAAATTTGTGGCTAAATGTCAAGCCTAGCAATTGAAAAGTCATTCCCTCCTCACTAGGAAGGAATCTTGGTAGCTTGTTTTGATGTTTTTTCTATTATCTGGGTTATTTCAGGGTTGTGATCCAGATTTTATTTGGTTTATTGAGTCAAACCCTTCTAACCCTACATTCTGTTTGTGTGTCTTGTCTGTCTGTTCTGTTGCTATTTTCATTATCCAGGTTATTTTAGGGTTGTAACTCGGATTTTAGGTTGTTTTTCTTGTGTTCAAACCCTTCCATCCTTTACTTAATGAAATACAGTTTATCCTTTTGTGTCATTCTTTTCTTAGTTCTTTTCTCGTTAGTTCTAATGACATGATATGCATGCGGAAATTTTGGCCAGATCTTAGAAAACTGATTTAATTTGGAATTGGATAAT